GCACAGCAAATCTGCATTGCACATGGCAGCCTTCCAGCCTTTCAAATGAAAGAGCACTTTGAACTGCTGCCAAGTGTGGAAGGAGCAGAGCTGTCAGGACTGCTTAATGCTGGCAGTTTGTACTTGGGAGCCTTTCAGTTCCCAGAATCCTTCAGCATGGCAGCCTGCCAGGTACTTAGCGGAAGCTAAAAACTAACCCCCAGACCATTCACTGCAGTGCACTCAAAATTTTCCACATGTACCATGTCACAAGTGCAGACTGCACAATGAAAGCAAACGCCTTCTGCTTGGGATTCTAATTTTATTAATAATCTAGGAAAAAGCAATCAGAGATTAACTGGCTGACAGCACTACGGTATAGCCACTGTTTATAACTCGGGGGATGCATGTCAAATGTGTATTTCATCCCTTAGAAACAGAATTAGCTCAGACAACAGGGGCTGCACAGCCCTAAATCTACATTTAGTACCTGAATATGGGAAGATTGGTGTTAGCAGAAGGGAGAGGATGGTTATTTACAGTGCAGTGTTTCTTAGCAGTCATTATCAAATGCATAGCAGTGAGATGTGAAACAGAAAAAGCAGGCACTATTGCTGGCTGGTAACTATTTTTTGCCCTTACCCTCTGCATTTTGATGACATTGTGAGAATCTCGGAAACTGGCTGATGAATGTAGCAGAGATATGTGGCTCTTGGTGGGTTTCCTTTCAGTGGTGAGTTTTCATGTGAACTTTTTATTGTTTTGCATTCCCCAAAGCACAAGGGCTTCTACTGCACAAGGGCTTCTACTGGCAGAGGAAACAAATTGGCACAGTTCTGCTTTTTTTTTTTTTTTTTTAATCTGCACTGAGATCAAGGGCAAGGGCTTCATTTTCCAGCACTAGTCATAAGCCTTTAGCACAAATAGAATGAAAATTGTCTGTCGCTCAGGCAGTTGGACAGGGTTCAGGAAAACTATGTCTGGCACTAATTCCAAAGGGAGGAAGGTTTGGTTCAATCCAGCATCATTAATTTCAATAAACTGTTTTCACTAGTCTATATCCCACTGTTCAAGAGCTGTTTATTATCTTTTACTAAATAATGTTTTTTTGGAGAACAGAGTAATGAAAAATACCTGCTATTACTTGCATACATATGTATGCTCTCACATGTATGTATACACATAAGTAGATATGGTATGTGAGGCTGTATTCTTTTATTATTTTTCTTTTTTTACTTTTCTCTTTTTCTAAACAATTGCTTGTTTCTTACCTTGCCTTCCCATTACAAAACACATTTATAATGCCAACTATAAAATAGCAAAAATAGCCCAGAAGGTAAAAGAGAGAGAGAGTGAGAAAGAGAGAGAGGGATGAAAAACCCTGGAGCAAAGACAATCTCCACAAATTTGTGAGTTTCACCAAAAAAACCAAGGAAATGTAGAGCCTCTTTTTCACCTTGCAGCTATCTTTGGCTGCTGCTTGAAGATTTGACTTAATTCACCCAGGCAGCAGTGTCTAAAAGTAATACACCAAGACAGTTAATTTTGGCACTTAGTCTCCCTTAGGAATTTTACCAACAGTCTTTGTAAAGAAAGTAAATGATCTTTTTTTTCCTCTTGGTTTCTCCCCATGGCTCATCTTGATATGTGCTAATAAAAGAAGCTGCCCCCAACCCCCCTTCTATTCTCACCACTATCCTCTGTCCATATCATCCTTCTTTCAATAACAATATTAATCAGCATTTATAATGTGGTCTTGGAGAAAAAGTGGGTTTGGTCTTTTCAGATGGCCTAGTTAGGAAAAGGAGGTTATGCTGAGTGAAATAACTGAAAATAGTGTCAGAGTCTTTCTTCTTTTCTTTTCTTCTCTTCTTCCCCCCTTTCCCACCTCCCTTATTTTTTGGAAAACACAGTAAAGTTTTGTTCAGTTCTCAAGTGTTATTAATCACTGGTGGAGGCCAAAAGCAGGGATATTTTTCTTGGCAGCACGTTTTGATAAACAATCTGTGTATGGGGTGAAGGGAGGGAGGAGCCTGTCTTGCTGGTAACTAAGCTAATGTTTGGCAGATCCTTAACTGTCACGAAAGTGCAAGTGGCTCTCAGTGGGAATAGCCTTAAAAAATGTACCGATTCAGTTGATTCATTGTTGTTGATTGTTTACTACGTCCACAGGATGTAAGATGAAAACAGTCCAGGAAAAAGTAAAAATAACAACAGCAGAGGCCCCAGCTCTGCGTATCCCAGCCCAAAACACACTGCCCAGTCGCTAGTCCCTTGCAGAGTGAGCAGAATTAATTATAGGTGTCTTATTTTGCACTGTAAGATTTGGCAAAGGTTAATGTGTGGAAATCTAGGCTCCCAGGCAGGTTTTCAAGCCTTAAAGACAGCTGTAGGAAAATCCGTGTGGGGTGGGTCTCAAAGAGGGCCTCCCTCAGTGCTAGCCGGGACAGAAGCGGGAGGCTGTGTCGGGACGCGGGGAGCCGCGGCCGGCTGCGGGCAGGGCAGGGCAGGGCAGGGCAGGGCAGGGCTGGGCAGGGCAGGGCAGGGCAGCCCCCGCCCCGCTGCGCTCTCGGCTCCGCGCTCCACCGCCCCTGTGGGAATGGGACCGGGAAAAGCAGAGGAAACGACAGGCAACGTCCATTATGAAATGTGTCTTAAGAGTTTCTAGGCGGGAATGCAATAAACTCTCTATGTCAGCAAGGCTCACTACCTGAAAAATGGTAGGAAAAAATTAGAATTATAATGAGATGAGAACTGAAATGATAAACAGAAACATGTAACTACTCCTATTCTTTGTATCTGAGTGTTTTGACACTTCCTGGCAGCTTCTAGTAGAAGACAATGTTGTTTAACTTTTAATTTGACAAAATTATGCAACTTCTTCCTGAAGTGTTTGTGTTTTGATTTGCTGAACACACTCTCTTTACCACCAAGTGCTCTGTTCACTGCTAATCTCTGCATTGTTTTGAAGCCAGTCATTTGATTGTGACGGATTTTATTTGCTATTCTGAGGTAAATCCATGTAAATTACACTTTCTGGAGTGCACTACCCTTCTCGTTCTTGTATTTTTTTCCAGCTGTAGCTGCTGTTTGGATCAGTAAAGAAAGAGCCATTTCTGTGAGTGCCTGCAGAAGAGCCAGCTGCTCTGACGGCTGCAGTGATCAGTGCCAAAACTTTGTAAAGCAAACAAGAAAGAGTTAAACATATTCCCAGGCTGTGAGCATTTAGAGTCAGACCAGACTGTTCATTCCCAAGCTGCTGAGATCATGGGCTCCTAATTATTATCGCTTGCAAACTTTGGGGCTGTCCTGTATTCTGCATAATTAACAATGCCCAGCTGATCGATAACCCACAGTACTTCTCTCCCATCCAGATCTACAGTAACCGCCCTGTTGTGGGAGCTCATGTCTGGGAGTGGCACGGAGTAGTGCCTGGGGTGCAGCCAGGCCACCTGGTTTTGTCGCTTTGTCCTTCATGGTGTGTTGCACCCTCTGCTTTCCATACCTGCTGGTGGCTCTAGGAAAACTAGTGGCCAGCTCCTGCACACTGTATTTTGTAGGATCATTTTGATTCCTTCATTTAAATCGATGCTTCATGTGCTGTTTTATTGTTCCACAGACCCATATGTGCGCGTGTGTACTTTCAAATAAAGATGGTAATAGGAATAAAAGGAAAGGGATTATCAGATGGCAGTATTTATCCTAGGACTGAAAGGAAGGAATTAGTAGATTTCACTTCTGATTGTGAAAATTATAGTCCTTGTCCCTTGGGACTACTGGCAGGTGATAAACTTTGGGCAATCTCTGCGGAATCCCTGATGCTACATCCACAGTGCTGACTTGTGTTCTGCACAGAAAACAGTAGCTGGGTAGCAATTGTTCACAGCCGCAGGTCCGTTCCTCCTTGCACTCCCCTTCACCTCCCTAAACAATCTACTGTTTGGGGGTTCTTACACTATTTTTTGTTTGCACGCTTCTTTCTTTCAGTTAGCCAGATTAGACACCTGAATGGATTAATTGTTTGGGCTTCCTCTTTGCTTCCTCCAAAAGTAATATTAATTCCTGGATTGTTTCAGAGCTAAATAAACACCACGCATGTTTAGTATAAATCCAGCAAAACCAATCTGGATTGCTCCTGTCCCATCACTTGCATGGCAAAGAGAAAAGGCAGAAGGTGAGTGGGAAAGCTTGCTGCTACCCTCGCAAGGACAGTGCTGCCATAGAGGGGAAGCTTGTTACACTGCTACCGTTCAATCTATTTTTCCCTACACAGATTAGATTGATACTGACAAGTCGTTCCCTGTGAAGGTGCCACAGCGTGGCATTTATTTGCATTTACATTGCAGTTCTGTTCATCAATCAGCTTTGCAGAGATCACTGCTGCTGCTGGCCATATTGTTGCTATGCTGACACTTCATCCTTAAGTGCTGCTTGCGTAATGGTACAGTACGTGCCCATGACCAAAGTTTAAATCAAAGTTTAATCATTACGGAAAGACAAACATATTTCCGCAACCGTGTATCCTGCAAGTAAGAGTAAAGGCAGTTTGGTCGGGTCACAGATGCTAATCTCTCTCTTTTTCTATTCACAAACTGTAAAGGGAGTTGACAGCACCTGTAAATGGTTTTCTAAGGCTAGATTATATCTAAGGTGATTATTATTTACACCCACTATAAAGACTGCTCTTCTGAGCCAACAAGTCTGTTTCTGTGAGGTGAGTTTACCAAAAAAGGGCTTTCTTGAAGGAGGATTCAGTAGATCGAGGATCCAGGGTGAGGGGTAGTTCAAGCACATGGAGTGCCTTGTCCTATGTTGGATTTGTGTAACCCGGGGACTGAAATACAGTCAGGATATGTTGCAGTTCTGCATTCTTAGACGTGCGGGACGAAGGGAAAGCTTCAGGTCTCTCAACCCGAGTTTTTAAAGCAGAGGCTGACCTTTTACCACAGCCCAGTTCTGCTCTTCATATGAAGATCAACGTGAGGCAGTAAAAGGATAGGAAAGGAGCTGACGTTCCAGTATGAATCAGAAAGAACACATGTTTATTTAGTGAAGTAAAAACATATTAATGTAGAAATCCTGCAGCCGTCCCCAAATCACTGTGGCTGGAGGCAAAGACTTTTACTTTGACCAGCTTTCATCTGCCATACTTCTGTGGAGCTTTTGTAATGTCCACAGTTTAGGTGTGAAATTTGTAAGTGTGAAATCCACTCCCCTTTAGCGCATCTTCTTCAGCCAATTTGCATACAGGAGACTCACATAATTCAAATACTTTCCTATCTCTACTTACTGCTTCTACAAGCTTCCCCTGAAAAAGAGTCACTTTGTCACAATTAATTTTCTAACTGTATTTTATCTGGTCCTACCATTTTTGTAACTTCAATGTGAGCATTTCATTAAGCCTTCTCTATAAAATAATTCCACACACATATAATCAAACTCATTTGCCAGCTTTATAGACTAGAACCAGACACATATAAAATGCTTTAGACAACTAAAAATGCAAATGACACATATTGGTGATATGAAATGAAATATTTAAAGGAAGGGATTTTTGTCATGTGAATTCCAAAACGTTATTAATCGAATGGAAGGTATCTTTCCCCGTCGGCGCTGCATGGCTGCTGAGCGTGCCGGTGTAAGGGAGCCGTGGCACCCCGCCATAGAAACACTGTGTCCTTTTAAACACAGAGGGAAACCTGCAATGGACGGGGGGTTCGGCGTTTGTAGCAACAAAGGAATCAGGAAGAGGTACTGAAAGAAAGAAATCCATCCAACACAGCCCAGCTGGGAGAGGTTCCGCGCTCGCCGAGCGTGCGGCTGCTTCCCCCCCGCCCCCCGCCCTGCCCCGCTGCGCGCTGTCTCCGCGGGCACCGCGCGCCCGTGACGCGATGCCGGTGGCCGCCCGCGCCGGGTCCCGGCCGAACCGCGTCCCCGCAGTCACAGTTTGTTATTCTTTGGACGCGGGCAGCGATGTCGATGTTTGCAAAAATAGCCGCCGACTGCAACGAGAGCAAAAGCGGGCTGTGCAGAGCCCTTCCTGGCCAGCGCGGGCACCGGCGTGGCCGCGGGGCCGGGCGGGGAGCGGGCAACTTCGGGGATCGCGGGCGGGAGAAGGAAAGCTTCGGGGGGGTTTATTTTGTTTTCCTCCCAGTGAAATGAATTCTTGGCTTATTTGCATGAACCGAGGTTGTTTTAAGTAATTTGACTGTTTAACAGTGTTATGCAAATGTCAGCTAGCTATTTAAAGGGGGAAATAGAAGAAGAAAAAAAAAAAGCCGTGTGTTCTCACAACGCCGGGGAAATCCTATGTCCCTTTGCATTAGCGAGATGAGATCACAGTGATTACTCACCTGCCTGGCCTCTCCTACACCCTTGAGCAATGCACAGCACTATCTTTCCCACCCCAGCCTTAAACACTTGGCAAACATGGCTGGTTTAAACAAATCAAAAGTGGAAGAGCTTCTGATGCAGTCACAGGCTTACAAAAACTGTGTCATTCTGTCACTGGGATCACTGGAAGAGAAACACGAAATCGGATATTAAGGCGGGATCCCCCATTTGCCTCAGCAGCCGGAGCGCACGGGAATCCCACCGACAATCGCGGTGGCAGAAAGCCGCGCAGCCGTCACGAAAGCAAAGCGGGGCGAACCGCGGGTTTACAAAATTCCGAAAGCGAGACATCTGAACTTAGAAAGCGCAGTCAGGGAAAAAAAAAACCCAACCAACAAAACAACAAAAAAAACCCCGCCGCCACCCACCACCACCACGACGACTGTGCATGCGCGCCCTGGCCGCGGTGCCGCGGCGGGGGGCCGGCGGTGCGGCCGGGGAGGAGGCTGAGGGCGCGATCTGGCGTTCAAGTTTCCAAACATAGCCGGCAGCGCAGGCTGCCCGCGCCCCGCCGCGCTCCAGCTGCGGCCGCGCCGGGGAGGGCGCGGGCAGCGCGCCGGGCATGCGCGCCGGAGAAGGGGAGGGGCGTCGCGGCGCGGGGGGAGCGCGGCGCGGCGGAGGGGGCGCGCAGCCACACGCGGCGGCGCGCAGCACCCCGCGCTCGGACTGCGAGTAGCGGCGAGGATGTGAGTGAGGAGCAGGCGGCGCCGCTCGCCACGCTGCTGCCGCCGCCGCCGCTGCTGCTCCCGGACAGCCGCAGCTCCGCCAGCGCTCAGGGAAGCCGCCGCTGCCGGGACCGAGCAGCTCCGTGCGGGTGCCCCTGTCTTGCTCACGGCGGTGGATCAGCACGTACCGAACTGCAAGCTCACGAGGCAGCCGTGGCGGGTGGAAGGTGACCCCCCCCATCTTCCTCCGTGCACCTCCGCCTCCTCCCGGAGGAGGAGCAGCAGCAAGCGGAGAGCTAGAGAGCGCAGGGAAACAGAAGCGGCTAGAAAGCGACCCCCACCCACCCAGCCCCCCGGAGGAGCGGTGGAATCGTTTCCCACCCCACCGGGGCAGCAGCGGCAGGACCAGGTAGAGGAAGCCATCTCCGGCAGCAGGAGCGAACTAAAAGCAGACGATCCCCCTTGCTGAAACGGGCAACAGGATCAGGTACGGAGAGCCACCCACCCCCCTCCCTGCAGCCCGGGGGGAAGACTGAGCCAGCCCCTACCCCGGCGGCAGCGGCAGCAGCTCCCCAGCCAGCAGCACCATGTCCGCCGCGCAGGTGTCCTCGTCGCGGAGGCAGTCATGCTACCTATGCGATCTGCCCCGCATGCCCTGGGCTATGATCTGGGATTTCACGGAGCCCGTCTGCCGGGGCTGCGTTAATTATGAGGGCGCCGACCGCATCGAGTTCGTGATCGAGACGGCCCGGCAGCTGAAGCGGGCGCACGGCTGCTTCCAGGACGGTCGCTCCCCGGGCCCCCCGCCGCCGGTCGGCGTAAAGGCAGTGACGCTCTCCGCCAAAGAAGCGGCGGCGGCGGCGGCCCAGCAGCAGCTCAACCATGTGGATGCCACCTCCAAGGCGGCCTCAGCGGGGCTGACCCAGTCCAGCCTGGACCGCTACGGGCTCAGCGCCGCCGCGGCGGAGCAGCGCAGCCGCTTCGAGTACCCGCCGCCGCCGGGCAGCCTGGGCAGCAGCCATGGCGCCCGCCTGCCCAACGGACTGGGGGGGCCCAATGGCTTCCCCAAGCAGCCTGAGGACGGGCCACCGGAGCTGAACCGGCAAAGCCCCAACTCCTCCTCCTCCTCTTCCTCCTCTCGTCGCGGGGCGCACGGGGGGCTCGTGTCTGGCCTGCCCCCGGGGGCTGCCGGCGCTCAGATGAATGTGCCCCCCAACCTGCTGCCGCAGACGCTGCTGAACGGCCCCGCTGCCTCCGGCGTGGCGCTGCCTCCGCCGCACGGGGGCCTGAGTGGCCGCGGCGGCGGGGGTCCCCCCGCTCCCTCCGCCTCTTCCCAAGGGGGCACCTGCGGCGGTGGTGCCGGGGGAGGCGGCGGCTCGTCCTCCGAGGCCTGCGGCAAGCGGCCGGGCTCGGTATCCAGCAGTGACCAAGAGCGGGAGCTGAAGGAGAAGCAGCGCAACGCGGAGGCGCTGGCCGAGCTCAGCGAGAGTTTGCGGAATCGGGCCGAGGAGTGGGCCAGCAAGCCCAAGATCGTGAGGGACACGCTGCTCACTCTGGCCGGCTGCACCCCCTACGAGGTGCGCTTCAAGAAGGATCACGCCCTGCTGGGCCGCGTCTTTGCCTTCGACGCCGTCTCCAAGCCGGGCATGGACTATGAGCTGAAGCTCTTCATCGAGTACCCTAGCGGCTCCGGCACCGTCTTCTCCAGCGCCTCCGGCGTGGCCAAGCAGATGTATCAGGACTGTATGAAGGACTTCGGCCGCGGCCTCTCCTCGGGCTTCAAGTACCTGGAGTACGAGAAGAAGCATGGCTCTGGCGACTGGCGGCTCCTGGGGGACCTGCTGCCCGAGTCTGTGCGCTTCTTCAAGGAGCTGGTGGGCGCCGACATGCTGCCGCAGCCCTACCTGGACGCCAGCTGCCCCATGCTGCCCACGGCGCTGGTGAGTCTCCCGCGGCCGGGGGCCGGGGCCGGCGGGGCGCAGGGCACCGCTGCCGCCTCTAGGGGACCTGGCGGTGGCGGCGGCGGCGGCGGCGGCGGGGCGATGCGCAAGAGGAAAGCCTCTCCTGAGCCCTCGGACTCGGCCGAGGGGGCTCTGAAGCTCAGCGACGAGCAGCAGCGGCAGCAGTGGATGGCCAGCCAGAGCGAAGCGCTCAAGCTCACCATGTCGGCCGGGGGCTTCGGGGCGGTGCACGGCGGGGGCCCCCCGCCGCCGCCGCCCCTCGGGCCTCACTCCAACCGGACCACGCCACCCGAGTCCGCCCCCCAGAACGGACAGTCCCCCATGGCCGCGCTCATGTCGGTGGCCGACACGCTGGGCAATGCCCACTCGCCCAAGGACGGCAGCTCGGTGCACTCCACCACGTCCACCCGCAGGAACAGCAGCAGCCCCGTGTCGCCGGCCTCGGTGCCGGGCCAGCGCCGTCTGGCCTCCCGCAACGGGGACATGAACCTGCAAGTGGCCCCTCCTCCCCCTAGCACCCACCCTGCCATGGACCAAGTGCACCCCCAAAACATTCCGGACTCCCCCATGGCCAACAGCGGGCCCCTGTGCTGCACCATTTGCCACGAACGCTTGGAGGACACCCACTTTGTTCAGTGCCCCTCTGTGCCCAGCCACAAGTTCTGCTTCCCTTGTTCCAGAGAGAGCATCAAGGCCCAAGGGGCGACTGGTGAAGTCTACTGCCCCAGTGGAGAGAAATGCCCCCTAGTCGGTTCCAATGTGCCTTGGGCATTTATGCAGGGCGAGATCGCGACCATTTTAGCTGGGGACGTTAAAGTGAAAAAGGAGAGAGACCCTTGAGTAAGAAATCCAATCCCTTCAGACTCCTGAAGATGTAGAATTGTGAATATAACAAACTGCAAAAGTTAGTCTTATGTATAGACATTATTTTCGTCGTATGTTTCTATATTTTGAAACAAAGGTATGTACTCTTCTTCATTTGAAGGATAGAGCTGGTTTTTGTTAAACAGAATATAATATTGTTTGGTTACTACATAATACCTGTTCTCATTTCTTTGGCAGTGTGTTGGCTAGGTACAAAGTTAATAGCCCTTAGCGATTACCTGCTGCTGGTGTGTATTTTTGTAAATGTATGCACTTCTCTGAAAGAAGAAGAAAAACACAAAAGACAAAAAAAAATTATTTTTGCCAAGGCCAGTGTTGATGCCTAAAAAATTGCTACAAAAATGGTGACAGCTTACGTTTTACAAGCCCTGAGTGTTAGTCTTTCCCCTTTTTTTTTTGTTTTTGTTTTTTTTGTTGCAAAACGGTGGGGTGGCTGTGGGGGGAGGGTGTTTTTTTGTTGCAAGTTTGTAAGGAAAATGTTTCAGTTTGTTTCTATTGATCTGAACGTTTTTTTAATCTTCATGTGTTTTTTGTTTTTGCTTTTATTGATGCACGGATGCTTTTGAACAGTAGAGCAAAATGCTGTACATGAGAAACATGCTCTTTGTCCTTTATACATTTCTGTAGTTAACAGAACACTGTAATGTGCCTTGGAGCTTAGTAAATTGTAATAAATTCAATTGATATTAATACTTCTTGAGTAGCAAGTTTTATTTTTCTCTAAGCTTAGGCAATGTGCACAAACCGTGTTGGCTTTTTAAAGGTCTCCATTATACCAATGCAGTTCGTTGTGATAATTGTGGCACTTGTATGCACATTTCCACTAATATGTAGTAATATGATGATGTTGGTGGTGTTATCAAACTTACTTAAATCTTGGCACTGTGCCTATTTACATTTCACCTTTAATGTTGCAGTAACGGTTGCTGACTAAGCATTTTCTATTTACTGTTCCTGCATCTCATTTCCTCCTCCCTTCTCCTCCCCCCCACCAGCTCTCCAGCTGCAAGCTGTTTGCAATACAGGATGCATACATTGCCTGTGCAATTTAGTAAGGCTTGAGATTTAAAATGAAGCCTTCTTTTCACAAAAAAACAAAAAACCAAAAAAAAAAACCAACCAAAAAACAAAAAACCCGCCCAGCATCCCATAGTTAATAATTTTAGTTGATTTTAAGAGTGGTTGTCAAAGTTTGACATTAGCCACAAACTCATGGTAAGGCAGAACAGAGTAAGAAAAGGGTAGCATGAAATAACAGCTTCTGCAGTTGGTGTTGCAGCTGGTGGGTTGCTACCCCATTTAGGCATTGGCTTTTCATAACTGGAATTGATGAGCTGTTCAAGGGCTTTATTGTGTTTTCAGGCAAGGAAGCTTCCTTTAAGTGCTGAAGTGAATGCTTTCTTTTCGGCAATGATTATATGTGATTCTTTGTATAATTAACAATTCTGTGTGACATTGGCATTTTCTGGAGATAGGGGAGCAGTGTGATACCTGTTAAGTGATCAACAGGCAAAGTAAATACACAGGCCTCATGCTAGCTAGAAAATGCAAACAAACCTAGTGTGAACTTTGTCCTTTCCAGCGAGGCAAATGGAGGAAAGAGGGGAAAACCTGAAAAAAAACCCAGCAGCACTGCTGAAATCTTTTGCAGTTTGACCAGCAGTATATAGAGCTGTTCCAAATGCAACAGTGCCATAGGTTAAGAGCTCTTCATTTTATTGAATAGTAAGGATCCCCACCTGCCAAAGCCCCAGAGTTGTATAAAGGAAAGTCTGGATGGCGTTTGGTATCTGCTTGGTCTTAATACATACTTGATTTGCATTCCTGGTGGGAACGATGGTAGAAGCCTTGAGACTATATTCTTAGTGTGCCTACAGATCTTTGCAGTCTTGTATAGATACACTCTGGCTGTTTCATGTGTGTGGGGAGGGGGTGGGGTTTGTTATGTTCTGAGATTTAGTATTTGGCATCACTATATCTGTGATTTCAGACAATGACTTTGTGTGTGTATATTTTTTTTTCCTGCCAAGTAATATATCAGTGCTTAAAAACCTCCACACATATTGTTCTTATGTAATGGATCAAAGAAGTAATGCAGAAAAATAATGTTTTGAATTAATTGTTGGATACAACTTACATGCTTTTTAGAGTATAGATTTGTACTGTTCCTATTTTCAGTTATTTCTAAGCATGCAATTCTCACACAGCAGTTTATTTTTAAATCATGAGATAGGGAGACTAACATTGTAAGCTCATGACTGGCAGAGAAAAAAATTGTACACATGGTTGAAATTCAAGTTTAAACTTAAGGAGAAGTAGTATTCATATGTGAATTGCAACTGCTATTAAAAGACTGGCTATTCAACATTTAATTGTATCACAGAAGTGTGAATACCCTGATTTATATAAACAGAACCACTCCTG